ACACACACACACACACACACACACACACACACACACACACACACACAATTTTTTTTATAAGTGCCGTGAAGCAAATGCTAAAAGACTCTGAAAAAACAGCCGGATTCAACTGAATTTCAAACTTTAAAAACGACATAATTAGTGTGAGTTTTCAAGTGAAATAAACTAACATAATAAGAAGGCATCATTTAAACCCATGTATGCCCTGTAGTTTGAATTGGGTAAAAATAAACTCTCTAAAGAAAGTTGCACATCTGTAACCACAAAAGAGCTGAGGTCTGTTACCATCAGACACACACACACATAAACACACACACAGTAAACAGAAGTCCATAGATAATGGTAGGAGAGGCAAGGCTGGGGAGAAAGTCCAACAAGAAATAAGGCTGCTTTCTTTCGTGGCCGGAAGAATGTTCCACTGCCAAATGGAAAAACCGAGGAAGAGATGAGGAAAAGACCAGATAAGAGGGGAGGTTTAATGTGGGGAATCCACACTTGAGCTAGTGGGGAACTTCTGTAGACAACTGGGAAGATGAGCGTGGTATCAAAGTACTCAGTGAAATCTGACAAGCTTGGGTCCATGCATGTAGAACGCCCTAACTGACTTGTAGAACTCCCTGTACTAACCAACGGAAACTCATGATGTGGGACATGGCTTAAACATCTGCGGAAAGGAGGATGGAAACCATCTTCATTTCTGTGATAGGTACACGTTTGCGTTCATCCTGATTGACAGCCTGCTCTTCCTCTTTAGCGATGGCATTCTGATGTTATTTTATTAAGAAGAGCTTACTTCCATGGTCAAAGACCCTGGAATTCAATCTGGAATAACTGGAGGAGGCATGCTATGCTTCTGAATATTGGAAATGACTTACTTTGAAAAGTCAAGACAGGTTGTTTAAACATCATGGAAAGTATTAATATGATTTTTGTCTCCACAGTCTGATAACACATTGCAAACTTGAGGGAAAAAAAAATACTTGTTCCCATGATCAGTGACATCATATGTCCTTGGGAAGAATTTACTGGCATTATTTTCCTATATAGTCATGATGTCAGCCTGCCTTCTAAATTGTGAGAATTACAGCCACAGGCGTGTGCTGCTCCCAACTTTGCTCAGAGAAACTTCTTTTTCGCAGTGAGTGATGGTTAATGCAAAGATGCATTCCTGCTCAAAGTGCTGAGAATGAGTGGTTGTGATCTGGGGTTTTGTTTATTTATAGTTTTGGACAGGTTCTTGTTTCCTTTTTAGCAAAACAGGCTTAATTACTTTCGTCTTTAAATGCCATTGCATCTAGACTTAATTGTGTTAAACCTAAATGTAGCCCACCCCTAAGTCACCCTAACGCTGTGACTGCCAGGGTTGGGCCACTCCTGTCACTTACAGTTTGAGTAAGTTCAGCTGGGCCTGCTCAAGCTGCCTCATACACTTGTGCATGCTGTTTCTGCTGCATCTCTAACTTGGATGGGGATGCAATCATGTGACAACTCACAAAACTGTCACAGAAAAAAAGTGAATCAGGAGATGCCAGCGTAATGATGCGCGTCAGCAGACGAGCCAGTGGCCTTTGCAGAGCTTTTTCCCAGGGTTTCAGATTCTTGCTTTCCTTTTATCCCGGGCCACAGTCATAAATGTCTTACCATATCTTTGTTAACATTTTTGTGCACAGTATCAATAAAAGTCAACAAGACGGGAATACTATTTTTAGCGGCTCATTAGCTGGCTGATAGGAGCTGGAACACTATCTGCTGGATAAAATGGAAAGACACAAACAAGAGCACGGATAACGGATGGCTCAGAAGAGGATGTGCATTGACTCGTGCAGCTAGGAGCGAAGAGACAACCTTACTCCAGTTCAGAAGAAGGTGACTCCACCAGCCCCATTTCTCTAGAAGTTCTTACGACGCGCCCTTGACTCTATTAACATTGTCCTTGGCGTAGCTTCCTTGTGACAGAAAGAGAGCTGAGGTAGTTTTGAGGTTGGCATCTGCAGCTCCACAAGCAGCAGACGGGCAGAGGGTGAACTTTCCAGTGGCATTTCCCTCAAAGCACGGCTAAGTCCTCCCCAGAACCCTGCAGCAAACCTCCTCACATATCTCATCTCTGCCACGCATGTCCCCAGAAAGCATTCACTGTGGCAATGAAGAAAGATTATCTTACCTCAGCAACGCCAGTCCCTTTTAAAGTGGGGAGAGAGGTCTTCTTCCTCAGAAGTCCATTGACCTGGAGGGGAGAGAGGACACGGGATAAGAAAGGGAGGGCCAGAGGGGAGGAATGGGTGCTGTATAGATCGAGAAGCCCTTCCGTTTGACTTTCGGTTGCTTTTTAAGGGGGCGGGATCTTCAGTGCATGGGTAAGGATGAAGTGGAAAGGAAGCTGTTTGATTCTGTCTGTCTGCTCCTTTCATAGTTCTCAAAATGCCTTTTGTCAGCCAGGCAGGGGTGGCACACGCCTTTAATTTCAGCACTCAGGAGGCAGAGGCAGGTGGATCTCTGTGAGTGTGAGGCCAGCCTGGTCTACAAGAGCTAATTCCAGGACAGGCTCCAAAGCTAGAGAGAAACCCTGTCTTGAAAAAAACAACAACTAAAAAAAAACAACAAAAAACCCACTATGGTAGCAGCTTATATCTTCCTAGTAAGTTGTTTTCACTTGCTCACTTGCATATACTATTTAGTAAGAAAATCCATCAAGAAATTCAGGTCTTGCCAGGCAGTGGTAGCACACTTGGAGGCAGAGGCAAGCCGATACCTGTGAATTCAAGCCTGCTTTACAAAGCGAGTTCAAAAGTTCTAGGACAGCTAGGCCTGTTACATAGAGAAACCCTGTCTTTAAAAATCAAAAAAAAAAAAAAAAGGGAAGGCAGGAAAGAAGGAAGATAGCAAGGAAGGGAGGAAGGAAGAAGGATGGAAGGATGGAGGAAGGATGGAAGAAAGATAGCTCTCTGCAGATCATGTCTACATTGTTTTAAAAGGATAAGCACATGTGAGGTGCTTTTAAATAGCATCAGTTTGTCTAAGGGGGTGTTGTATTTTTAGTGCTGGAGAAATGGGTGTACTTTTTGAACATTGTGTGCTGGAATCGGCCAAATTAAATCTCCTGTCTTTTACTGCTCATCTGTCAACACCAAACAGTCATCAGCCCTTGGGAGTCTGCCAGTGATGGGCCCACCTCCTGCTCTCTCTGGCATAAAGGACCAATTCATTCCAGAAACCTGGAACATAATACTAGTAATAATAACTGGGCTATTATTGAGAGTTATTGAGTGTTATTACCGGACTATCCTCCCAAGTAAAACAAGTGCCATCTTCGGAGTTCAACTCTGCCACTTACAAACGATCACCCCAGCTGAGTTGACGACGGACATGCCACCATTGAGGGGTGGGTAGAGAGGGTTAAGAAACCTCACCTGAGTATCTAGACATTCTATACCATCTAGTGTATGCAACTCTGCCCTAATTGAATGTGGCCTCTGGGAGGAGCTAGACCAGGAAAGAATAGAGTAGGGTTATGAGAAAGCCATCGTCAGCACTGGGTAAGACTCTCCCTGGTGCAGGCGTCTACAGGGAGCACCCACACTTCAGTAAGTCACCCCTCACCTATGGTCGGCATTGGTTCCCCAGAGTGAACTTCAATGGACTTGTACCTGTGGGTTTCCCATCTAGCACTGAAGGCAAAGAGAACAGAAGAGGGGAGCAGGGTTTGGATGTCCCTCTCTTTCTCCCTTGTTCTCTCATTCCTCTTTCACTTGAGCCTAGAATTCTCCTCCTAAATTCTCCTATTTATTTTCTCTACATGCCAGCCCCACCTATCCTTTCTCTGCCTAGCTACTGGCCATTCAGCTCTTTATTAGACCAATCAGGTACCTTAGGCAGGCAAGGTGAAGCAAATGCAACACATCTCTACATAAGTAAACAGATACATCACAAACAAATGTACCACATCTTTGCCTGGTTAAAATGATACTCCACAACACACAGCATCTCTTAGGTTCAGTATCCCACAACACAGTGGTGTATTCATTACAGGATATGGACTGACATCAGTAACATTATCGATCAAGTCCATAGTTTATATGAGGGCTCACTCTTGGTGTTGCACAGTCTGAGAATGGATGACGTAAAAGACAATGATCCACCCCTGTACTGTCTCATACACTAATGTTACTGCCTTAAAAATCCCATTTTCTGCCTGTTTACTTCTTGCTACTCCCTAACTCCTTACAAACATGTTTTCATTTTTTTTTTTCACTATGACCAAAGCTTTGCCTTTCCAATGCCATACAGTTGAAGTCGTTCAACTTACTTCACCCTTTCTGATCTCTGGCCATCCTCCCACATCCCCCTTAGAGTGCTGGAATTACAGGTGGGTGGCACCGCAGCCAGGGGGTTGTAGCCTTTCCAGGGAAGCTTTTCACTTGGTGACCACCATCTAAGTCCTCTGTCTTTCATGACTCATCTGTTCACTGTCGAAGGACATCTTTGTGTTTTCTAATAACTTTTCTCAATTATGGACAAAATTTCTATCACCCACATAAGATTTCATGTGGACCTGTGTTTTCAAAGTCGCCCCAATTTCCAGTGACTTTCAACCTCTACAAGGTCTGAAAAAAATTACAAAGGGGTCCAAAGGTTTACTCTCAAGAGTTTCTTCTCAATGGAGTTTCCTAAGGGACATAAAGAATTCTCTCAAATAGAACAGAGACATCTTAGAAACACAGATTCACACTTAATATTTTATTACATAGTTTATATGAATGTTATGCAACTGCTTCCTATGGGTGTCTTGGCACAAATGAAATTCCTGAACCGTGATAAGGATGCAACTGGAGTAGTACCAATCAAGATTGGTTTTCACTATTCTTCAGCTGATAAGAAATGAAAAGTTTCAATTGCAAATAAAAATGAGAAGGGGGTTGTTTTCTAGGACTCTCGTCCTCCAAACGTCTCCATCTCAGGCACATATCTTAGTGCGCACACATAATCAAAGGAGAAGGTTGTGCAGCAAAGTGCAAGAACCTCATGGGCGCAAAGTCCTGCACTCCCACGTGAAGGTCAAGGCTTGACGTATGCAGAACTAGCAAGCAGCACACTTAATTCCCAGCCATAAATTCTCTGCAGACACTCTGTCCAGTGTGGGCCAAGGCAACTATTTTCAAACATGGACCCAGAAAATAAACTCCATTGTTCACAGCTTGAGGAGTTTATTTTGAACCGCATGAATCATGTTTAACATTTATATGAATTTTTATTTATGTACTGAGTGTTACTTCACATCATTTCTTCCCTTGTAACCAGAAGAGATAGAGACAAAAGTAGTCTACAGGAAAAGAAGCATTCAACCAACCCCAACGGCATCAGCAGCACGGTGACTGAAGGGACAGGCAAGGAGGGAGGAAGGGAGGGGAACTCGCCTTATTCCACACAAAGTGAAACAGAGAGCAATAGCAGGAGCCGCTGGGAAAAGCCAGTTTGTCCTTGTGGCCTCGGCGCAGACATCACTCCTGTTACTTAATCCTTTTCAAGGCTCAGGCAGGGAAAATGGCCAAGTGAAGCTGGTACCTACTCCTCAGCTCTGGGCAGCTGTGACCACACAGAACGGTGACCCAGCAGAGTCAGATTTCATTCTGCTTTGTGGGCATCAAGAACAATGAAATGTTTGCGCAAGGTCATACTATTTAAAATTCTATGGGACCAATTTGCATATCTAATTCAGTTCTTGTGGTGCCATCTTATAACCGATTCTGTGCACTTTACTAAGGTGAGGATTACTGACTAACTAACCAAAGAGTCAACGAAGACTAAGACGCTGTGAAAATCAGTGTTGAGATCTCTTTCTTCTTAGTTGAAGTGCATACTTGCAAATAGTCACAGTCTGCGATTTGTTAAGCTCTAGCGTTCATGCAGCTATGAAGCCATATTAACAATGAAGATAGAACGAACACACCCTTGAGGAGGAAGCCCCACCTGCCTGCCCTCAGGGTCACTCACAGTTTTCTCATCCTAGTAGAAGATGCTTAGAAGGAAGCAGAAGTTCTTGCTTCCCGTCACCTTGAGGACGTACTCCCCCAAATCTCTGCGTTTGAACCTTCAGAAGAGACTCCCAGGGACACAAAAAATGGCAGGTGCAAGTATGGTCATGTCAGATTGGGGGGGGGGGGGGTTATGGTCTCTAACTTTCAGGAGTCCCATAGCCGTGCCGTCATCTCATGGGTGCTTAGAATGAGTCCTTCTTCTTTGCCCCAGCCTATTATGAGGTGTCTCACCTTAATATGGAATAATTGACAAGCAATGAGCTAACTGACCAAAAAAAAAAAAAAAAAAAAAAAAACAGATTATCAAATTAGATACCCAAACTTAATTTTCTGTATTTTGAGATAGTCCAACAGCTCTAAGAGTAACAGCATGATCAGAGAACCCACTTTCAATCCCACAAGTCTCTTTGCGTAAAGGCTGAAGGAGCTGAAGAAAAGTGTATTTGGAACAGAAATGCCAGAATTCTTTCTGTATCTGTCTATCACCTAGTAATGTGATTTCCCTCACTCCAAACCTAGAGAAGGGAATTCAAGGAGCAGTTGTGAGAGTCAGACTCACCCTAAGACTGGGGCACAGTGGACAGAGAGAGGACTGAAAGATCAAGAAAGGGGGCTCTCTGCCAGAGTGTGGAGGAGCTGGCTACTTGAAGCTCATCGCGCTGGATGAGCAGCTGCTGGGTCAAGATCTCTGGGTCTCCTGGGAGCCACAGGAAAGAGAGACAATGCGGTAACATTTCATAATTTTCCAGGAAAAACCACCTGGGTAGGAGCATACGGACTCAATATGGAGGCCGGCAGGAATATACAGGAGCCTAAGCAGCATCCCAGCCCACTGCTAGTGATCAACGCCCCTTCCACCTCATGAGCTTCCCCTTACAAATCTCTGTATAAAGTGCCTTCCCAACCCAAACGATTGGGAAGTGTTCTGTGGGCAGAGCTGACACACACAAAGTAGTGCTTCCCACCTCCTGGCTTTCCTAAGGCTGGTCATCCTCCTGCTACTGGCGAGGGTAATCGTAGTAACTTTAATGTACTCTAGTTGATTTTCTGTCAACTCGCAATTAAAGAAAATTAGCTACATTGGCCTTTCCATTTTTCCACCCGTCATGTATTGTATTAAGTGCCAATTCTGGGCTGTGCCCAGGAGGTTCCTATGGCGAGGTAGGGCCATGCTTGCATGGTTTTCATATGGAGTTCTTCCTAAAGGTAGAGAAGCCAGGCAGGACAATATCCTTT